CCGCATCGGGACTGTCCCCCCACAGTCACATCAGTCTCTGTACAGAGGAGCTGACACTCTAATGTTCCTGATCACACAGTAGGATGATTTTTGCTGTTTGTTCCTCTTATCGGGAGACAAGACCAGTCATCCTGCACAAGGAGAGAGAGCAGGCGTGACCGGTCTTTATTACACGAGGGGGCGGAGACAAGACCAGTCACCCTGCACAAGGAGAGCGAGCAGCAGTGAGCGGTCTTTATTACAGGAGGGGGCGGAGACAAGACCAGTCACCCTGCACAAGGAGGGAGAGCAGCCGTGACCGGTATTTATTACAGGAAGCTCCAAGTCTCACACGGGATTACTGCACAGATCTGGAAGAAATACACAAAGCCCACCAAGATTCAAAAAGAATACACTGGACTCTTGTATGAGGACAATATCTGCTGATCCCGGAGTTCCGCTTTAATTCTCCCCTCATTCAGTTGCGCAGACCTGTTCTGGGAAATGATGCCCCCCCCTCCCATATATCAGTCTGTACATACCCCTAGCCTGTAAAGTGAACATTTCCATATCTCTCATCATAAACACACACACAGGGAGGTTTGTACCTGTCGAGTGCCGGTGTCAGGCGATATTCCTTGGTAGCGGACAGGATTGCCTTGATCAGGTTATCTGCACAATAGAAGGAATGCGATGTGAGTGAAAGGCAACAGACGGGAAAACAAAAAAGATTTACAGTAAAGAGTAAAACGACGGAGTCCCAGGAGCTGAGCGGATCTGTCGTCAGGTCTATAGATGGTCGGCTCCTGGGGGCAGACGAGCCTGCTTCCCGGCTCCGGGTATTTGGATAAGCGCGCAGCTAAGTACTTTGACACTCGCCGAGTTCTACAAATACGCGCAGCCTGCGGAGGGATCGCCGGTGACAGGAGGGATTAATCCGGAATCCACCTTTTTCCAGCATTCAGATAATGTGATTGTGGGAGAGCCGCGAACTTTACCGGCATCGGCGTTATCCAAACTACTTATCCGGAGCCCGGGGGAAGGAAGACCGACATTAACTGGCATCCGTGTGTCTACCGCCAGAGACCGAGACGTACAAACATCCCATCACATGTCATCTCACTGCAGGCTATGAGGAGGCAGAACACGGGACAACCTGCCCCAAACCGTGTGCATTGAGGTGCTACCATGTTACAGCAGAACTCCGGCACCAACAATACCCCCGGGTCTGTACACCCGCTGTGCCCATTTTGAGGAGCTCCCACCATCCCTGTGCTGAGTTCCCGGGTCTGTACACCCGCTGTGCCCATTATGAGGAGCTCCCACCATCCCTGTGCTGAGTTCCCGGGTCTGTACTCCCGCTGTGCCCATTATGAGGGGCCCCCACCATCCCTGTGCTATGTAATAAAATCAGAAGTTGCTCAGCAGGAATGTTGACTGCACTGCCTGGTATACAGATAGGTATATGTAGAGGAATGTATGAATGTGAGCCACGCACCAAAAAAGACAAATAAATGGGAAATAAGAATTTGCCCCCAGTGAAGTAACGGGACTTTCTCCTGATTGAAGTGACTCAGCCAGCCTGGCAGGAGCGGGAGTACAGAGCCGGCGCTGCAAGGTTACACACTCCGCGATGGCACTCTTATAACACAAATTGTCTTTCTGGCAGCAATGCGGAAACATGAACGACATGACCAGTCACCCTGCACAAGCAGAGGGAGCAGCAGTGAGCGGTCTTTATTACAGGAGGGGGCGGAGACATGACCAGTCACCCTGCACAAGCAGAGAGAGCGGCAGTGACCGGTCTTTATTACAGGAGGGGGCGGAGACAAGCCCAGTCACCCTGCACAAGCAGAGAGAGAGCAGCAGTGACCGGTCTGTATTACAGGAAGCTCCGAGTCTCACACGGGATTACTGCACAGATCTGGGAGAAATACACAAAGCTCACCGAGATTCCAGAAGAATACACAGGACTCTTGTATGAGGACAATGCATGAGGTGCATGCAACGTGTGTGTGTTTGTATTTATGTTTTATATAACATTTCCCATAGTAGACATGAGACACCTGTTTATATTGAGCATGAAGCATTGTATCAATGAGCTGTAAGGGGCCCAATGAATGTGTCCATGTCTATAATAATGTATACAGATCTTC